CTCTCCCAACGGGGTGGAGCCCGTAGTGGAGGAGGTGGACCGGAGAGAGGTTCGTGCCAGGACAGGGGGGGCGAGGGGTGGGTTTGAGCCAACACTGACATAGAAGCTCCTCTTGCATGTTCTTGGCTTACATTGCACTAAAACCTGATTGTGCCTTCTGTGATTTTTCACTGAATATCTCTTTATGAAAGAGACTTAAGTCTAAATCTGAAAAAAATATGTTTTAAAGTCCCAGAAGTACCTAAGAAAGTTGTACCAGAAAAGAAGATTCCTGCAGCTGTTCCCAAAAAAGTGGAGCCACCCCCACCTCCTGTTGCAAAAGGTACTTCGACTAATATATAGAAATAATTATTGTGGCAGCAGCATGACTTTCTCTTCAGCTATGCTAGTGACAGGGCTAAGTAGACAACTTAACCATTTCTTTCCCAGTAAGTACACTGGAATTAAATTACTTCTAAATTGTACAGCAAAAAACTACCTCTTTATGCTAGTTCTATTTGCAACCTTTTCACCTGATAGAGGGTCCCCTGAATTATTCAGCTTCTAGGTCCTTTTTCTTAATCAATTCTGAAAATACCTGGCTTTTCCAACCAGACTTTGCTATCTTAGAAAGTTCTTGCTATCATTACCTTACCATGGGGGCCTCAAATCATACTCTCACAACTAATGTTTTTAAAGTGCCTGAAGTTCCCAAACCTGTTCCAGAAGAGAAAGTGCCTGTTCCCAAGAAGGTGCCAGCTCCACCAGCCAAAGGTACATCTAATATTTAAGTTAGTACGAAGATAAATGAATGTGTCTATTAGTCATTGTTTCTATTTCATCGATATTGTTAGTTAGACATTGAAGGATCAAATTCAATCATTCAAATCTTTCTGATTTCTTTTGTTTCTACATGTTGGCTTTTGATTGAAATCTTTAACATAAGTATGTAATATATCTATATGTATCTTTAAAGTGCCCGAAGTTCCCAAACCAGTCCCAGAAGAGAAAGTGCCTGTTCCCAAAAAAGTACCAGCTCCACCAGCCAAAGGTACATCTAATATTTGAAATTCTGTGAAAATAAATTATCATGGACAGTACTTCTCATTTATCTTCTTCAATTAAGTGAAAAACACTAAAAGCAGTGATTCAAAGTTTTGTGTTGTCTTGTAAATCTGTGCATGGTGAAAATCTGGTGCAAAGAAAATCTTAAAACAAGAAAACCATCTCTTTTTAAAGTGCCTGAAGTTCCCAAACCTGTCCCAGAAGAGGAAGTGCCTGTTCCCAAAAAAGTGCCACCTCCACCAGCCAAAGGTAGATCTAACATTTAAAATAGTAATATGAAAAAAAAAGTTTAACACTGACATTACTTGTCATCCTTATTCTTAAGTATTAGACACCAATATTGCTACAGTACTTCAAAGTTTTGTGATATCTTATGTTTGTCTGTGGTGGGTTGAGCTCAAAATCTTAAAGACAAAACATCTATTTTTCAATCCCTGAAGTTCCCAAACCTGTCCCAGAAGAGAAAGTGCCAGTTCCCAAAAAAGTGCCAGCTCCACCAGCCAAAGGTAAAAATCCTCCATATTGTCTTAAAAGTGCCTGAAGTTCCCAAACCTGTCCCAGAAGAGAAAGTGCCAGTTCCCAAAAAAGTGCCAGCTCCACCAGCCAAAGGTAGACCTAATTAAAACAGTAATATGAAAAAACATTAACATTAATGTTGCTTGTCATCCATGTTATTAGGCATGAATTTTGTTTCTATATGTTGGCTTGAGATTAAAAGGTTTAACATATGTATATATGTATTTTGTGATGTCTTATATGTTTGTCCACGTTGAGACCAAAATCTTCTAAAAAATCCTCCATATTGTCTTAAAAGTGCCTGAAGTTCCCAAACCTGTCCCAGAAGAGGAAGTGCCTGTTCCGAAAAAGGTGGCACCTCCACCAGCCAGAGGTACATATTACTTTTAAAATAGTAATACATAAAAATATTAACATTGACATTACTTGTCATCCTTATTCTTAAGTATTAGACACCAATATTGCTACAGTACTTCAAAGTTTTGTGATATCTTATGTTTGTCTGTGGTGGGTTGAGCAAAAAAACTTAAAAAAAAAAACATCTACCTTTCAATCCCTGAATTTCCCAAATATGTTATTAGACATGAATTTAGGTAGTTCAAAGTTTTGTGATGTCTTATATGTTTGCTCATGCTGAGACCAAAATCTTTACAAAAAATCCTCTATACTATCTTGAAAGTGCCTGAAGTTCCCAAACCTGTCCCAGAAGAGGAAGTGCCTGTTCCCAAAAAAGTGCCACCCCCACCAGCCAAAGGTATATCTAACATTTATAATAGTAAACACAAACATTAAGAATAATATTGCTTGTCATCCATATTCTTAAGTATTAGGCACCAATATTGGCATTTCAAAGTTTTGCGATATCTTATATATTTGTCCATGGTGAGTTCAGACCAATTTCTAAAGAAAAACCATCTATCTTTCAAATCCCTGAAGTTCCCAAACCTGTCCCAGAAGAGAAAGTTCCTGTTCCCAAAAAAGTGCCAGCTCCACCAGCCAAAGGTACCTGTAAAATGTGTTACCGTATGGAGAAGTATAAATGTTGACACCACTTGTCACTGATATTCTTAAGTATTAAACACCAGTATCAGTATTTAAATTTTGTCATGTCCTGTATGTTGTCCATGTTGAGACCAAAATCTTTAAAAATCCTTATTATCTTTAAAATATCTGAAGATCCCAAATGAATTACTGAAAGCAAACTGGCTCTTCCTGTAAAGGCAACAGCTCGCCCTGTCAAGTGTACATCTTATCTTTAAAACTGCTTGAAAACCAATTAATGTTGAAGTTATTCGTAATTAATCTTTGTCAGTTAAGTACAAAGTATCTATATTAGTAGTTCAAACTTTTGTAATGTTTGTCCATGTTGACTTGAAAACATAATACTTAAAAAAAAAACTATTTTCAAAGTGCCTGAAGTTCCCAAACCTTCCCCAGAAGAGGAAGTGCCTGTTCCCAAAAGAGTGCCAGCTCCACTAGCCAAATGTACCTCTCATATTTATAACAGCATGAAAAAAATTTCATTCATATTCTTAAATATTAGACAACAAAGTTGGTAGTTCAATGTTTTCTAATATCTTCTATGTTTGTCTCCATGACTTAAGACCAAACTCTTAAAAAAATTAATAAATCTTTTTTTAAAGTGCCTGAAGTTCCCATACCAATAGTAGAAGAGGAAGTGCCTGTTCCCAAAAAGGTGCCACCTCCACCAGCCAAAGGTATATCTAACATTTGAAAAAGTAATATAAAAAAAACATTAACACTGACATTACTTGTCATCTTTATTCATTAGCATTAGAAACAAATATTGGTAGTTCAAAGTTTTGTGATGTCTTACATGTTTGTCTATGGTGAGTTAAGCTCATAATCTTAAAGACAAAACATCTATCTTTCAATCCCTGAAGTTCCCAAACCTGTTCCGGAAGAGGAAGTGCCTGTTCCCAAAAAGGTGCCAGCTCCACCAGCTAAAGGTACGTCTAATTAAAACAGTAATATGAAAAAAAATTAACATTATTTGTTGTCTATGTCATTAGATATGAATTTTGGTAGTTCAAATTTTGTGATGTCTTATATGTTTGTCCACGATGAGACCAAAATCTTTTTTAAAATCCTCTATATTATCTTAAAAGTGCCTGAAGTTCCCAAACCTGTCCCAGAAGAGGAAGTGCCTGTTCCCAAAAAGGTGCCACCTCCACCAGCCGAAGGTACATCTAACATTCATAATAGAAATAAGAAAAAATATTAAGACTGATATTACTTGTCATCCATTCTTAAGTATTAGGCACCAATATTGGTATTTTAAAGTTTTGCGATATCTTATATATTTGTTCATGGTGAGTTCAGACCAAATTCTAAAGAAAAACCATCTGTCTTTCAAATTCCTGAAGTTCCCAAACCTGTCCCAGAAGAGAAAGTTCCTGTTCCCAAAAAAGTCCCAGCTCCACCAACCAAAGGTACATCTAATATCTGAAACATTATGAAAAAAATAAAGTTGATAATAAATGTTGTACATATTGTTCAGTTAAGTGACAAAAGTGCTGTTCAGTGTTTTGTGATGTCTTGTACATTTGGTCATGTTCTCTTGAGGCCAAAATCTTAGTGTTTAATGTTTTTTAAGTGCCTGAAGTTCCCAAACCTGTCCCAGAAGAGGAAGTGCCTGTTCCCAAAAAAGTGCGAGCACCACCAGCCAGAGGTACATGTGAAATATATAACACTATGAAAAATATGAATATTGACATTATCTGTTATATTCTTAAATATTAAGCACTAATATCAATATGCAGAGTTTTGTATACCTTGTATATTATCCAAATTGTGATCAAAATCTTTTTAAAAATGCTTTGTTTAAATTGTCTGCAATCTCCATCATGTTCTATGTGAGAAAGTTTCTTTCCTCATAGAGGTGCTAGGTGCACTTGCCAAATGTTCATCTAATATTTAAAATATCTTGAAAACAAATTAATATTGGCAGTACTTGTCATTAATATTTTTAAGTATTAAGCATCTATATCAGTAGTACAGGTTTTTCTTCCCTGTTTTTTATATTGACTTGAAATCAAAATATTTATTGAAAAAAATCATACTATCTTTCAAATCCCTGAAGTTCCCAAACCAGTAGAGGAAGAGGAAGTACTTGAAGTTCCCGAAAGAGTGCCAGCTCCACCAGCCAAAGGTACATCTAATAGTTATAACAAAGCACTAATTTTGGTATTCCTTATCATTCATGTTCCTAACAACGAGACACCAATATCAGTAGTCCAAAGTTTGTGATGTCTTACATGTTTGTCCATCGTGAGCTGAGCTCAAAATGTTAAAGAAAATACATCTATCTTTCCAATCCCTGAAGTTCCCAAACCTGTTCGTGAAAAAGTGCCAGCTCCACCTGTTAGTGTTGCATATAATATTTATAGCAGGTGGGGAAAAAAATGTTGACATTACCTGTCATACATCTTCTTAAATATTTAAACACCAATTTCTGTTGAAAGATATATAGCGGCTTGGATGTTAGTCCATGCTGATTTGAGATCAAACCTAAAAAAAGGAACCATCTCTTTTTAAAGTGCCTGAAGTTCCCAAACCTGTTCCTGAAGAGAAAGTGCCTGTTCCCAAAAAAGTGCCAGTTCCGCCAGCCAAAGGTACATGTGAAACTTGTAACCGTATAAAAAGAAATATTATGTTGATGTTACTAGTCATTTGTCTTCTTCAGTTAAGTGTTAAACAACAAAATTAATAATTCAAAGTTTATGGTGTCTTGTATGTCTGTCCATGTTTTTTTTTATGTCCATGTTGACTTGAGACCAAAACCTTTTAAAAAATCTTCCTATCTTAAAAGTGCCTGAAATTCCCAAATCTGTCCAGGAAGATAAAGTGCCCATTCCCAAAGAATTACCTGCTCCGTGCTTCAAATATTTATAATAGTATGAAAAAAAGTAATATTGAATTACTTGTCATCTATATTCTTAAGCATTGGGTGCCAATCTTGCTAGTTCAAAGTTTTGTGATATCTTATATGTTTGTCCATGGTGAGTTGAGCTCAAAATCTTAGACAAAACATCTATCTTTCAAGTCCCTGAAGTTCCCAAACCTGTTCTGGAAGAAAAAGTACCTGAAGTTCCCAAAAAAGTACCAGCTCCACCAGCTAAAGGTACACCTAATACTTGAAACTATGTGGGAAAAAATATCATTACTTGTCATTGTTATTCTCCAGTTAAGGGCAGAACAATATCAATTGTGACAGATAGTGAGGAGGCTGGCAAAGAAACAGGAGGAATTTAGGCAGAAACAATCCACAATGGAGAGGTTCATCTGTAGGAACTCAGTCTGAGTTGTGAAAGGCCTAGAAAGAAAAGAGTCAGACTCCACTTCAATAAACTCATTAATCAAAGAGGGTCGGTGGTTACTGTTACCATTTCCAAGATTATTTAATTCTTGCATTAAAGGCCTTATTGATGTATATATGATTCTTGCTTTCTTGATCATATGATGCAATACAGGATTTGACAGTTCTTCAGTGTTTTGTAAAATCTTCTATGTTTATCTCTGATGACTTGAGAACAAAATCTTTTAAAAATTAATAAATCTTTTTTTCAAGTCCCTGAAGTTCCCAAACCAGTCCCAGAAGAGAAAGTGCCTGTTCCCAAAAAAGTGCCACCTCCACCAGCCAGAGGTACAGATGAAAACAAAGTTGACAATACATGTCATTTATATTCTTCAGTTAAGGGTTAAACACCAACATCAGTAGTTCAGAGTTTAGCATTATCTTCTACATTTGTCCATGGTGAAAAGAGAACAAAATCTTGAAACAAGAAAACTATCTCTTTTTAAAGTGCCTGAAGTTCCCATACCTGTCCCAGAAGAGGAAGTGCCTGTTCCCAAAAAAGTGCCACCCCCACCAGCCAAAGGT